CTTTTTTCAACTGTATTACATTTATTTTTCTTCAACATGAAATATTACTAGCTTATAAAAAATTCTAACCTATAAATCAAAGCTTTCTTCTAGTTACTTTATACAGTAATTGACTTATATGCAGATAGATGGCGTGTGTGAATTCATATTGCTATTTTCTCAACATTTATATATATAATTAATATTTAATTATATTAAAATTAAATATTTAATAATAGAAATATTTTAAATGGTTGTTAAAATTTAGGAAACTTTTTAAATTACGATTCTTATATACGTAAAACGTTGTTGTACCTAGAAAGGGGATTTTTTTGTTTCGTACTGCACCAGAATAACCCCAGATCACGTTTAACAACTAGATATCCCTAGATAAAACTCACCATTGATTCCATTCTACGTATAACTGTGAATAATATTATCAAATTACTTTCTGAAAAAAAATACGTTCGTTTGTAGATAATATTCGTCCGTTAAAAGTTTATTTTATCATCGAGTAATAAAAAATAGAAAGATAGATCAGATAGAAAATAATTCGTGAGAACTGAGACAACTGGTAGCGATATAAATCATCTTATAAACAACAAAAAGAATAAAAAAAAAAGAGGAAAAAGTTGAAATAACAAAAAATAAATCCACCGTTACTGTAAATGTATATATATATACATATATATAACGTGACGTATTATTTTAACGCTATGGGATTTCGTAAGCTAGCAGGGATAACAATTGTGTCGTTTATGAGCTGGAAGAAGAAGAAGAAGAAAAAGAAGAAAAAGATTAAGTATGAGACAAGAACAGAGAAAGGGAGAGAGGAAAATAAAAAAAAATAGGGGAATTATATCAAGGATACAGAATGATTAATACTCCGAGTTTAAACCATTTATCCGATAGTTTTATTTAAAAACCTTGGTTTGTTTGTTAGTTTGTTTGTTTGTTCTTTTATTTTTTCATTTTAATTTCATTTTATTTTGATATTCTATAGTCTCGTCGAAAAATTGTAATATTTATGCACCTTTCTCTTTCCCTTATTCTAATTCTTTCTATCAAACAAACTTCTACACATACGTGTACACATACAAGAGTACGCGTTGCACGTTAAACTCGTAGAATTTTAATATTTAAATAAGAAATACGTGTGGGTAATATATTTTCTTCTTTTTAAAAAGTGAGAGATTAAATGATAAAATTTTTTACGATTATTTGTATATACTTTAGTATATACGTGATGTGTATAGGAGTGTGTGTATTTTTGTTGTAAAAATGTTAAAATTGAGCGATAAATTTGACACCGTTTTAAGTACCTTAAGAAAAGATTATTTAAAGCTCACCCGACCAATGTAGAACATTTCTATTTGTCACGTGTCTTACACGATATTTTTGTAATATATTTTTCTTCTTCTTTTTCATGTATTATACGTAAATTAGTTTCTCGCGTGAGTTGGATCGAAAAGATTATGGAAAAGAAAAAGGAAAAAGAAAAAAAGCTGAGTAAGGGACGCAGAAAGGTTTGCGTGGCTTTGATCGGTGAAAAAAAAATCTTTCATCTGATTATTATGACGGCTTATTGTTAGCTTCGTTAATATTGTTGTTATAATTATTAGAACTCCAGTGTGCACGGATTGTACGTGTTATATCGCGTCGGGGTAACTTTAATTTCATCACTTTGATATTTTCGTTATACAGGTCGTTCAAAAAATTATAAAGTAAGAAGAAAAATTGAAACACGTGTTTAACCACGCGTGATCATTGGCTCCGAACAAAGTTACCACGAGTCAGACTCGTGCTTATTATTAATTATTTAATTATTATTTAATTATGAAATTATTTATTATATATTTAATTATTTAATTGTATTATTATATTAATAATTAATTAGATCTAAAAAATAAATAAAATTATTATTATATTATAATAAATAATTATTAAATATTAATTATTTATTTTATTTAACTGTATATTATTGACCGAAATTTTGTGCTACCACGAGTATCACACGTTGTCATAAAACACAAATCAGTAAAATAAATTTAAACAATATTATCGAATACAATTTAATATAATTTATATGTAATTTTGTTGTATGATTTTTGTGTCAGCCTGTATAAATATCTGTATGTACTGTGTTATATTATACGGTAGAATTTTTCTTCGTAATAATTCGAGTTAGAGGAAATGGGCCGGCCTGTGGTAGGGATTTCGTGATCGTTGAAATAAACTACCCTCGTTCAGAATATTTCCGAGAAGTGGTTGACTAATTGGCCTTGGGGTTATACGCGAATCAAGATATATATATTCGTGATTATGCATAAGAAAAAAAAAAGAGAGAGAAGTTGAATTATTCTTTCTAGTTTCGCGGCGAAGTTTTATTTCTTTTGATATTTCGTCTTATGTTATTAGTCGGTTTAAAAAGAATATCAAATTAACGGTGTAAAAAAGGTTTCTCGTGCGTGATTAGGTTTATGAATTATTCATAAGATTTACTTTTTCATTCGATGTACTTTTTTTTTTTTTTTATTTTTATTTTTTTTTCTCTCTAAGACGAGAAAGTAATAATTGTCGTCGTAAAGTTTACTGATCGAGAGACAAGGAAACGTTGAAATTTACACACACACACTTTCAGAGAATAAAAGAATATTTTAAGTTACTGATAATGTATACTATAGTTAATATAAAATACACGCGCGAGATTGTTGTTAATAAATTACAAATATTATTTCTTCCTTTACTTTTTTATTTTAAACATTTTCGTGATGTATTCATAACTATTAGCAACTGTATTAAAATGTTTCTTTTTATTTATTTATCATACGATTTAAAGATAAATTAATAAATTAATGATATCAAAAAGAATTCTATTCATAGTAAATAATTTATTTATTGATTTTAATTATATCAATCAATTTTAATCATTTTTAACACTTTAGATATCTCAATAATTTTTGTCATAACCTTTTTCATGAACTTAACATTATTTATTTATATATATTATATATTTTTATTCATATAATAATATGATAGAGTAAAATTTATTGGAAATGAAATATTCTGCGAGTGCATTTCTTTCTTTTTTTTTTTTACAGTAACGTCACGATGTTACATTCGTTGAAATTTTACAATATTATGTAAATAAGATTACAATATTAATCCAGTTAAATACATACACTGACACATATATGATCATTCAACGATGGTATTACATTGAAAATAAATATTCAGATTAAATTGAAAACTTTGAAGATTTAATCACAAATTTAATATTCTGTTTTTACACACACATCAACGTATTATATATTATTGATTACAAATTTACCATTTTGTAATGATTCATATATTACAATATTATATAAACAAAAGTAAGTATTTAATCGTATACACACGTATATACGTACAAAGGAACAGAAGATGTATAAATGATAGGTACTTGTGTATATTTGTTCGGAAACACAGAAAACGCTTAAACAAATACTCTGATTGGAATGAAAAGTTAAAAATCTAATGGAACATAATGTCCAATTTCATTTCATTGTATACACTTTGGACAGTTTTAATTAAGCTTTATTCGACTCTGGTATTATAATTATTGACAGAAGTACAAAAACAGAGAGAGAGAGAGAGAGAGACAGAAAGAGGAAGATAGTAAACTAATAATAATAATATTTTGCAATTGTACTACAGGTTTCCATATGATTCTACGTTTGTTCATAATTGATGAGATTCTAATTTTATATTCGTAAGAGAAAATACTTCATTTCAATTATAAACATGTATAAACCTAATTCCAAAATATTAACTGAAATTGATTTAATTTTAATCATTAAAAAATATGTTTGTCAGGGTCACGTTTTTAAAATGATTCGAAGTAAAATTTGGAAAATTAAATAAATGTAAAATGAATAATAGAATTTTATATCGTAATAAAAAATAAAACAAGATTAAAATCTGACGATAAGTTTTTTTTTTTTTTTTTTCATTTCTTTGCGAGAAATATATAAGAAATGAATTTTTTATAACTTATACAATTATTTTTATATTCAATATTTATTTAATTATTATTTTATAACCTTTTTTTGATTTCGTTTAACGTGTAATATTAATCACGTGTTATAAATTTTCTTACATTACGGAATATTAAAACGCGACAACACATTTCTGTCACTTTTGTGTTTGTTTGAATTTTTTTATTTTGTGTATATTATATTGTTTGTTTTTCTTTTTATTATTATTTTTAATTATAACCTTAAGAGTGAAAAACTTACGCGCGTAATTTCGTCTGTTTCCTGTTGTACACGTCATACAACGCCCATGTTAATTCTTTTAATAAATATGCAATTACATTTTCAACATTAATTAAAATTTTTCTCAAACGCATATATATATATATATGTGTGATACATACGTGCACATACGCGTATAAAGAGTTTTTATTTACAAAAGCGTGAAAAAAAAACACACTGAAATTGTAAGGTATACAAAATTATTTAGTTGTCTCTCACATTAAAACGATTCGTTTTCAAATTTTCTTTCGATTAATTAGAAAACATTTCGACCAATAGAAAATCAAAACAATCTCCATTAAGGATCCGACAAAATGATTCGAGTAATCGAAAAGAACAGAAAAAAAGAAAAAACAAACGAACCGTGCGATATAATTTTTTTCTTATAAACAAAAACAAGAAAAAGTCATGCACGCGTTTGACAGGTCGAAAATGCGTGAGAAAAATTAATCGAGTTTTTATTTTTTTTGGATTATTATTATTATTATTATTTAAATTTATTTTATATTAATAATGATTTTTCGAATTTTTTTCTATGAGAAGATAAAAAAATAAAAATCAACGAATTTGATGAGTCGAGTGTTGTGTATTCCGAAGGATTAATTTATCAATTAATCGATTAAATTATATTTTTGTCATATGGCGAAAAAAAGTAAAAGGTTTAACAAAAAGTTGATGAGGAAGCATGCTAAAAGAAAATGGCAGAAACCAATAAGAATAGCTGCATTGATTATATCTGCAATAAAAGATCTTCGTGAAACTAAAGGATCTACGATCAAAAAAATCATTGATTACATTAAACGTAGTTCAAATTTATCCGAAAAAAATGTTTCCAGACAGGTTAATTTTCTAATATTATATTTAATCATTTGATTAACTTATATAAATATTTAAGAGAAAGATTTTTTTCTCTTTCATTTTTATTTAGAATAATATAATTTTTGTTTTCATAATTGTATAATCAAATCAGATAATAGATATAATTAATTAGGGTATTCGGATGTTAAATAATATGTGTCAACAAAATTTATATTAATTTATTTTATAATATAAAAAACATTTTAGATTTATTTTATTTTTCGTATATATTAAATAGGTTAACGCAGCATTAAAACGCGGAGTGGAATATGGAATAATACGAAAATACAGGGGACATTATTTTTTACCAATGGAAAACGAGGTGGATCGTGCGAATCGAATAGCAGTTAGGTTCGCAAGACTACCATCACCTAAAAGGGGAAGCAGAAAATCGAAAAACGTTGCTATTCGCAAAACGCAAACCACGAGGGATCGGAAGAAAGCTAAGAATAGAAGAAGAAGACGTAAAAAAGAACAAAATCTCGCTAACATAAGTGAAAATAGCATTGCCGTGAGCAAAAAACCAAGAAAGTCACGTTCCCTTCCATTTTCAACTACGACTACGGCTAATATGAGTTTAGAGGAAAAAACTGAAACTGACGACAATTCTTCTGCCGAATAATTGTCAGTTTGATTATAATTATTTAATCATACTTTTCTATTCGTATTATTTATACTATATAATTATATAATCATTTTGTTTTCAATATATTCGACATAAAATAACGGGGAACTAAAATACTGGGTTTAATTATTCTAATATATATTTTTTTATATTAATCATATAAAATAAAGTTATAACAAAATTACAAATATTAAATATATAAAGGCTAAGATTAATATTAATTAATTAATCATAAATTTCATCTTTATTAAACAGAAATATGAATTTAATTAGAAATTAACAAACTCATACATAGACTAATTCTTTTTCTAGAAACAAATGTTATATTAGTCGTGTTGTTTTTATTAAAATCAAATATCAACTTCATACTTAAAATTCATATATATTTTACTCAGTTTAAAGTATTTAATATTACTTTTTATCATACACATTAAAACAGATCAATATAATTATTTCAATTCTAATGAATCCACAATTATTATCACGAAATAATTATTACATTTTACAAACTAATATATTAACATATTAATTATATTTATTGAGATAAAAAAATCAATTTGTTTTTATTTTCTTTTTGAAGTTATGATCGTTATGATAGAAAAAGAGGTACTTCAATATCTATCATCCATTGAGACGAGAATAGGAGTAAGAGTGGGGATAAAAATAGGAGTGGGGGTAGCTGGGGGAAAAGTCTATCGGTTCTTTTTCTATTATAACTAAGTATCGATCGTTTTTTCTAGGAAATAAGGTAGCTAGGTAGGATCGGCTTTCATCCTTTTCCACGTTCGGCACGTAGCCGTAGAATTAAGGTGAAATGAAAGACGAGCTTTTTTCGTAAATTGCACTGAACAACCGACCAACCAACCAACCAACCAACCGACCAACCAACCGACCAACCGACCGATCGACCAAAACTAGGAGAAACGCTAACTCCCCACCTCCTGCCATTTATTAAAGTTAGAGAAGGCACCACGGTTCTTCCTCCTTCGGACCGATAAACTTAATAGCTTCCAAAATTTACGGGGTTTGGCAAACGTTCCGAAGAAAACTTCCCTTAGACGCCTTTCTCCTTCTTTTTTTCTTTTCTCTCTCTTTTCTTTTCTTTTCTTTTATTTTATTTTATTTTCTAGCACGCGGGAAAGTTAGTAAAGTTGTTTCAATTGTATTATACTTCTAACGTTTTCTATCATTTTCTTACAAATTTCTTATTTAATATCGAAAAAATATAAACATTTCAATAGTTTTCTTTATTAGCAACGTTCTAGTACACTAGTTACTCTAGTTACTAATAATCTAGTTACTAGTTCCATTTAGATCACTAAAATCAAGCAATCGTAATTTTGAGGTTATGTGAATAATATTTTAGATGAATGACCCATCCAAAGAAAAAAAAAAGACAAAATATAGTCATTGTCCTTATCGAATAAATAATTAATTTTATTATTTTAAATAATAAGATATAAAATTATATAAATTAATAATAAAAAATATTTACCAAAACTTTTCCAAGAAATTGCAAAGATGCACAATTTACAGCATCGCAATCTCTGACTATTTCTGAACTTTAAATGCTAAATTTATAACTCGATATGGTATTCTACGCGTAGACAAAAGAATATACTTTAATTTAATATAAGTTTCATTAAAATTTATTAACTTTTGGTATAAAAAATATTTACCAAAACTTTTCCAAAAATAGTAATTTGATATTCTATAGGATATCAAAGTATTATGTTCGATGCTTAGGAAAAATTCTGTAAAAAATCTTATTTTCGACTTCGTCGGAAGGCTCTTTGCATTCATAGTAATGCCTAAGAATTACTAGCAATGACTGATTTCCAGCTCTGACGGTAACATATATATATATATATATATATATACATACATATATATGATAGATAGATGGATAGATAGATAGATAGATATATAGAAACGAATTTGGAAATAGTCCATAGGAATTCCGTACGGATTTAATTCGACTCACCGGCAGCCGATCTATAATCTCTGAAAACATGGTCGTGCGCTATGAACAAGCTGGGACTCGGAGGACACACAATTCGAATCCGTTTAAATGGTAATCTCAAAAAGTTAGTTGCCACTTCGAAAGAGAACAAAAAAAAAAAAAAATAAAGAGATAGACAGACGAACAGATGGATGGATGGCCAGACGGACGGCCAGACGGACGGACGGACGGACAGACAGACAGCCATATCCCTCCATCGTTCACTTCGTTGATTTTATCTAACATTTTCTACGGCTGGTTCTTTTTATCTATTTTTTTCTTTCTTTTTTGCTTTTTTTTTTTTGTTGTTGTTGCTTTTTTTTATTATTTTCTCTCTCCCTCCCCTTCATTTCGTTCGTTTTTTTCTCTCTTCTCCTCTTTTTTTCTTTTTATTCGCGCGTGAATTCACGTTCCATGCGATTCGATTTAAACCGAACGAAATAAGAAGAAAAGTAGAAGAAAAAAAAATATAGAAAAGAAATGAGTAACGTTAAGCAATGATGATGGGGGTGGGTGAGGGGGGCGGGAGCGGGGGGTAATATTATATAACAAATAATTCTAATTTATGATATTAATATATTATGATATATTAATTTTAATTTATTTTGAAGCAATGCACCGATGCAACTGTGATATTGCTACACAATTAAATGTATTAATTATTATATAAATAAATATAAATATTTATTTATGTTGAGTAACACGTAACACAATGGTCGGGGATAGAACGAGGAGGGGAGGGTTAGTATTAGTTCGAAAAAGGGATGGAAACGTGTGGGTCTTGATTGGTTGGTGGTTGTCCGTGGTGTGAAACTTGCTGAATGGCGATTTCGCATTAGTCATTGTTTCCTACCAACTATCGTTGGTAAAAAGAAGTACCTAGGAGAATAGCTTGTGCGTCAAATGTGAACGTAGAGATTAATGGGTGAATTTATCATCGTACCTCTTGGGAGGTACGAGCACGATGGGGGAATATGCTTTTCTTTTACCAATTTCTTTTTTTTTTTTTGACCTTTTGTATTATTTTGTTTTCTGGTATATTTGTTCTTTTTTCCCTTTTTTTCCTTCTTCATCTTCTTCTGATATTTTATTTTCGCGTGTCTTTCATACTCTTCGTAGGAAATGGGAATAAAAGTTGTAGATGTTTTATTTTTTCAGAAAAATCGATAAGAATCTTAAGAAAATATATTCTTCTTTTTTTTTATAATTTATTTAAATAATTTTAATTTATGATACAAACACATAATGCTGATGCAACTATGGTTGATACAATTTAATATATATTAAGTGTTTGTTCTAAAGCAACGAGTTTCTAATATTTTTTGGCAATAAATAATTTGCTCTTTCCTGTATATATTTAAAAATTAAGAATTATGAATAAACAATTTAAAAACAAATAGAAAGAAATTATTAAAAAATACTTCTCCGATGAAGGATCGAACCACTAAAATCAATTAAATCCATTTGCAGAAAGTATAGAAAATATTTACTCAATATTTGATTACGTGTGATAAGATAAGGTGTTTTAGGATCAAATTGTATTGTAATATGTTAAGTTTTATTGAAATGTATGACTCTGTAAAAAAGATTGGACATGTGAATTGTAAATGATCAAGTTGCTGATTAAGTCCCCAGTAAGGGACGAAACGTACAACTAGTTCAAATTAATTGTTCATAAGATTTATTAACCGTCTATAACTCCCTTTCAGACTTATATTTTAATAATAATATTTTTTTTATTACAGTCGAAGAATATAATATTCGTTTTGTGTATAACAATAATGATAGTAATCACGAACGATTATAGTGACATTAAAATAGGTAGGAGATAAACGTAGAAACGAGAAAGGGGGTGGGTTTGGGGAGTTCGGGGTAGCTTTTCGAGTTACCGGAAAGCTTTGTGGCTTTTGGAATTGTAACGACGTGGCTTGTAACGAGCGATACAGCCTTAAACGCTATGCCATTCTACGGTTACAGAAGATAGAGTTAGTATGAGGAGTATCGGATCCGGTACAACTCGCTAAGCCAATCCTGCAAAAGGTAATACCGTTTATTCGCGGATGTACTTTAATAGAACCAGAGATAACATTACGAAAATCTACTTTCGTTTCATTTATTTTTGGAATAAAAATTTCAAGAAGAAATAAAAGAAGAAATAAATCATAATCCAACTAAATTGTAAAAGAACAAACAAATATGACAATTTGTTTCAGGAATGTGATACGAAAAATAAGTATAATTTCGAAAACAAGAAAAAAGAAATATAACACATATCATAGGTTATCTAAATTAATAATAATAATAAAAAAAAATATATATATATCAATACAATAACAATTAATATATCAAAGATATTATTATTATTATTATTATTATTAATTACAATATTTCGTTAGAGTATAATAGTTCCTTTCTAATTCAATTGTTTCAACTATCTCAAATGTGCAATAATAGAAATGCACAAGTATGCACATATCCCACCTATGAACCTATTTCTCTTTCCGTGTAATGTATAAGTATACGTACGTACCTATATGTATGAATTACATATATGTATGTGTGTGTTCATTGGAATAGGACAAATAGATAGAGATAKAGAGTGTGGTAAATGGCATTAGTTGAAGTTCCACAGAGCTTTCGTGGTTCCAGAACTGCAACCATGCAGGTTCCAACCGTACGATGCAATCCCTGTGCCTTCCCTTTCTGTCACCCCTTCTCTAACCTCTTTCTAATGCACGTGTTACGGAAAGCATTCTCTCTCTCCCTCCCTCTCTTTCTCTCACACACACACTTTCTCTCTTTCTCTTTGTACGTCTGCCTGTTCTTGTCTATTTCAGTAGAATTTTGGAATGGGAACAGTAGTCGTGTTTGACCGCAAAGGTATACGATGCATAGTACTGTCTTGAATGCAGCTCGTTAGGCTCGCGATTGGCCGAATTAATCGATCCCTTTTGAAAAGGTAAGAGGAAGTGTCGGATAATCGGTCAACTGTAAA